GCTTTTTGTGTGCTAGAGGCCCCTGTATGAAAAGCAGTGCTGGGGTTTGCATATGAATTTTTCTTTTGTTTTAACGGCACTATTTTGTTTCTTCACGATTCTCTCTCCTCCCATCACACACACATGCACACTTCCATATATGCATGTTTGTTTTAGTTACTCCCCTTTTTGTCTCAAATAAATGATCCTCTTGTTTCTTAATGGGTATGTTGGTATCTTCTGACTGGGTAAGTTTTTCCACGCATCAAGATGTGAGCCATGAACTGTTTAAGTCGATTATTAAAATCTATCCTTCCAGAATCTATATCAGGACTAATTATATAAACAATCACAGCTTATTATTTATATATAACCGATGCCAATGAAACATAGTGGGGAAATGCCATCGCTATCTCCTCCCCAAGCATCCCTAAGAGGGTACATTTTCTGCAGGCCTTGAGTGCATGGAAACTCAATTGCTGGAGGTGTGGGAGCTAGCTGACCCTTAACATAGCCCAACCTCAGTTTACCATTACAGCATGGATTGTGCTTTGTTTACACACACCTGCTTTAGAAAGTTGATTTCAGTGACTAGTCACAAAAATATTATTATGGGGAAAAACAAGAATGCACAGAGGAAGCCCTGACCCACCCCTCTGTGGGCACTGCTTCTCCATCAGCAGGCCACTGTTGATTAACTTTAGAGTGGGCCTATTTGGTAGAGATTTGAAACAAAATAGGAGTATTGCAATGAGACAACATATCCTTTTAATTTCTTCATATGATATTTTGAGAATGTTAAAATAACAACTCAATTGTTTTCTCTAGACTGTCCGACTGTCCTATTTTTTTTTTTTTTTTTTTTTTTGTAGACTGTGTGGAGATTAATAGCAGCCCACAATAATCTGTTGTCCTTTGTTGGGGGTAAAAACTATGCTGCTGTTTCTGGAGAGAAATAATTGGTATGTAGCTTATAGAGTCAACGGCTGAATTTAATGGAGCATAAAGGGGTGGTATCTCTCACGAAGGAGGCATATTATCCGTTTAAACAGCTTCCATTCTTGCACATAAATTAGACCTTCGACAAGCTTTGGAAAAAGAGAAACCACACAGCAATGAATTAACATGCATGCATAATCTTAACAAAGAAACTGTCTCTTTTGAAAAGAAGAGAAAGATCCAGTGTCTCTGCTACAGTTAGAAATCTGAAATTAATTATTGACTTTTCCATATTGTTTGCAGCCAGTTTGTTTGCCCATTTATTGTGGAATGTATATATGGTAATTGTTTTACGGGAGCTCATAAAATTGAAGCTGCAAATGAGATAGTGTATGAGCAATTTATTGCATATGCCCTTCAGACATAGAACTGAACTTCGCATAAATGAAAAGTGGTCAATGCATGCTTTTTCAAGGTCCTTTGTGAAGGGAGAAGAATATTTTAGAGTATTTTCACAGTGAAATTCTCAAATAGCTGCAATTGAAAACCATTTCATATTTCTATCTAAAACTTACACCATTTTGAAACTGATTTACAGTGGTTCTAGAATTCACATTGGTGGACATTTTTAAGCTAAGAATGACTTAATAATTTGTGGAATATATAACTTGAAAAATTCTTATTTAGTATATGGTAATACAATAATTTTCATACTCCCCAAATCACACAAACACACACACAAAAACACACACATTTAGAAACACAAAAAAAATAATTTTCTGGAAGCAAACTTAAACAATAGTTCATGTGATGAATACTTTTTCAAGTTCTCTCTCTCTCTCTCTCTCTCTCTCTCTCTCTCTCTCTCTCTCTCTTTCTGAACACCCCTATTTCAGCTAAGCTCAAACATAAATAGGACACTCGACCTTGATGAAATTCTGACACTCCTATTATAACTCATAACAGCAATTAAATATAATGATTCATCTCACCAACATCTACTTTCCTCTTAACTGGTGTAGTTATAGCCTCCAAGAGCCCCTCCCTTTCAAGTGAGGAGGTAAACACCCTTGCTTGCTAATGAAACTTGACGGTGAATTTTTCACTGGTGTTTGATACCTTTATGACAATGCATACATTTTAATGATCTTGTTTAATCTCCTGATAGCATGTATCTTCTGAGATGAGGTTTATAACACTTTCATCTTTGCCCACTCCTGTGATATTGTTTGGAAATCGTGTGGAGTTGGGGTCTACTGTGTCTTAATTCTTTCAGCATCATGATCTTCCCTGTTAACTTGAGTATTAAACCCTTGGATTTGCTGCAAGCTCCATTTTCTTTTCCTATGTAGTTTTATGTTCTCTATCACTCACCCAACATCTGCTGAAGATTTGATAGTGATCATTAGAAACTTTTCATGTCAGTTCCTAAGTTTCCCTGCACATCTTACAGAGTGGCAAAGCCAGCACTGTTGTTCCTCCATAGTATCTGAGAACTACCATTGTCTCCAGAGCACCATCCCTGATAGCAAACCCTCTCATGTTCACACTTCACCTCAGGTACATCTAAGCATACATGAGTATCTAGAATCAATAGCTCATGTACCTTTACTGTTTTCCATAGCTGTCCAGCACATGTTCTCTACTAGGACCTTAACCTAGAGAGAAGCTGTAAAGTATTTTCTGCTTTTACTACCTATTTCCTATTATTTCTTTCCTCTATCTTAATAGCATCAACATTTTTAAATCCATTTGAAGGGGAAGGATCTTTGCCAGAGATAGGATTTTTCTAAGTCTTCCAGGTTGCTCATAACTTTGCATACATGAGAACAGGATAGGAATGGAGAGGCATAACAAAAATTAAACATTTTACCTGTGAAATATCTGGCACACAGTACCTATTTCAATATAGCATATAACTACAATGTTGCTTAGAAAGATGGTTCATAAAGAAACAACAATATCAAGTAGTGATCCTAATCCCATATTGTATTTGTGGGGCTGGACAGATGGATCAACATATAAAAGTCCTTACTTGTCTCCCAGGGGACATAGGTTTGGTTCTCAACACCCATGTGGCAGCTCATATTTATTATTAAGGGGAATTTCTCTAAAGAACCACATATACTTTATAAAAACTCTTTCTTCAAGTAGTAAAACTCAAGGCAGTGAATAATTTTTACAAAATATCAAGTGGATGGGAAGCTCTAAAACATCAAGGTTTAGTATATAAACATATAACCACCCAAGATCCATTTAAGAATCATGAATCAGTAAATACATTTTTATTATAACATAGACATACACATTTGTTTGTATTTGCTATCCTAATTCAAGCAAACACAGAGTACAGCTAGAAAATCTAAATCTTTGTACAGATGGTAAACTGCATTTCTTTCATGCCAATACAAACTAATATTAACTTAATCCACCAAGCATTTGGCTTTAAGCAATTACATTATAGGAAAGAGCATTATTATTTTAACCAATGCATTCATTATAACATTGATCTATTTCTAGATAATTCCCCTTTCCCAAAGTTCAAATTTTATAGTTATGAAATGACAAGATGTGTCCCAAGATAATTGTAATTATTTTCATATATGCTACAACAGATTATTCTCATACCTGGACTCAAGGCCACCAATATCCTCAACACACTAGTGCTCAAATTTGTGTTATAGAGGTCATTTGATTCCATTAGCTACCTAGCCTTCAGTCCTCAGTGTTGGACAGCTCTTTGTGTGATTCTCTAAGAATGAGAATGTGTAGTCAAAGGATGTTAATATCAGATCAAATCTTTACATACCGAGATTATTTAAATAATTTGAATTTTTTATCTCCTAAACTGCCAAATCCCATAATCAATAAATTATATGGCTTTACTTCTGATCCCTAGTTTCTTGTCTATAAATGCTCATGGAAGTTCCTCAAAGAAATGTTCTGTCACAAGGACTTATGCTCATCTATAGGAAAGCCTAGTACAGTCCTTATACACATGGTAGGTACATAATTAATACCTCTTTTAACTGAATTCACAAATCCCCACTCCTTAACTACATGGTATTTTAGCTCTCTAAATTTTATTACTAGCCTTTCCTGCTTTCTAAGATGTATCAAATATATAAACAGTAAATAAATAAAAAGGCTACCAATCATCTTAGAAAAATCAGCCTTCATCCCTTCAAAGACCTCATAACATTTTTTTTAAACTAATGATCTCAGAAAGTAAAGGAAAAGCCTAGTTGCTTGTGTTCCATCTAAGTGATCCAAGACAACAGGGCATGATAACTGTGGTATGTTTTTACACATGAAATATGATAACATCAGTTTTTCAGGCTGTATCTGTTCAGGAATCCTAAGTATTACTGAATTCCCCCTTATCACTGTGTACTCCTCAACTCCTCTATGTAGATCCAAACTCCAGATCTTCTAAGAAAAATGTCACAAAAAACGTAAAAATGGCTGAAGGAATTATCGCACAAAACAAATGTATTCTAAAATTGCTTATAGGTTACAAAATATATAAAATGTAGCAACTATTACTGTTTATTAATGTCTGTTACTTATCTTAAAATAACATTGATGCCAATAATGAAAAGGAACTCAAATCATTCAAATATTCTTGGCATATCTTACCTCCTAGAAGTTAAAAATGGGTTAAACTCTAAGGTCTTAGAGGATCTCTTCTGTCATCCACTTCTCTTGATAATGCTACTCCATGAGACAGAAAAGATATTTCGTACAGACATAGAGATAAAGAAACCTTCTTTAGATATCTCCCTGTACAGAACTTTGCTTGTATGAGCTCAAGGCTTTTCTCTCTGTGTTCTACACTCAGAACTCAGGTAACTGCCTCCCAGCCAGCAGTTCCCTCTCTCTGGAATGAAGTATAAAAGTGAGAAAACTACTGAAGATCCTTGGGGAAATGAGATTCCCTAAAATTTGGATGGAAAAGGAGGGAAAGGTGTACTCAGAATATCCAAGACAAAGAGCTCATTCATGGATTTTTGAAGAAAAAGGAACTAAGTGAACCAGTTGCCAGGACAACCTGTGTTGTGGAGAAGGGGTGGGACAAGGAAATGGGTGACCTATGGGTACTTCTTTTTTTGCCTCTGTACCTGGCAGCCTTTCGTGGGGTCAAAGGCTGTTTGGAGTGTGACCCCAGATTCATAGAGGATGTTAGGACCTTGCTGGCAATGCTGATACCTGTAGAAGTTCCTGGGAGAATTCAACTGCTTGACAGGCAGCATAAGGAGATAATCCAATTAAGCTCCAAGGTCTCCCACATGGATAAGACGCTTCGGTTGTTGGGTGAGGGAAGTTTGAGTCCTGACAGTTTGGGAGGTTAAAGGGAGAAGGGAGGCATGGAAGGAAATACCTGGGTTCACTACACATCCTTCAAAGGTTTGATTATTGCCTACCCTACATGTACCTTTCTCCCACCTATATAGCTGTTCGAAATGTTATCAAAATGAGAGAATGGCTGAAGCATGAATTTTATAGACTGGGCAATGAAACATGGAAAGGTAAGAAGTTTCACTGTCAAAACTTTTATGGTACAAACAGGTAAACAGATCTGAGGAAATTTGACTAGGGAGAGCAAAGCAACATAACTAAAATTAAATTCTGAAATAATAACCCTAATTTCTGGTATCCTTTCTATTTCTTTCTTAGGTGCCTTTATCATGCAAGGCAAGCTTCTTCAAGTCCGTCAAAACCTGGGATACCAACTGAAAGAATCACTAAAGAGCTTCTCTGAAGTTGGTAATGAGACATTTCTACCTAGCAACACTGAAAGTATGTCAGAGAACAGGAATTAAGGGGTGAGGAGAGGAATGAGGGTCCGGTTTACAGCGGGTGTAGTTGGAGTGATAAAGGGATAGACAGCAGGGATAATGTGGGTATGAATAAGACACATGGAAAGCTGGTTCTAACCTCATTGCATCTTTCTGATTCTCTTTTAGCTTGTTCAGAAGATTGCAGTGAGTACAGTACATGTGATGCCTTGAGGTTTCAGCCCATATTTTCCTATCTGTTTTCTCTATTTGCCCTTCTCCCCAACTAGTTAGCTTGGAATCCAATTCCTAGAGCTGTAGAGGAAATATCAATATTTGATGATAAAATCGAGCTTATAAGATTTTATACACCACACAGTTTAGAAGAGTGCTTAATGTGTCCCCGGAACACTGCCCCACTGCTCCAACATAGGCTATGAAATCATTGCTCCACTTCATCCATGGACCGCTAAGATTTTCATAATCTTTGAAATTTTAAGGATCTTGACTACTAGAGGAAGGATTGCAATAAATGTAACTTAAGAGTCCTGGGAATGTCTGACATCTAATCTATATTTATGAACAAAGGAACACCATTGCCATATCCCTTTCATGATTATATTTTTCTTTGCCAGTTGTAATTGAAGGTCCTGTCCTTGACTGTTGGACCTGTCTTCGCCTGACCACCCGGTGTTTCAGAGGAGACTATTGTAAAGGTGACATAGGCTGTGGTATGGCAATTTGAGGGGCAGGGCTGAAGGAACTAGATTGCTCATTGACTTTTTTCTAAGTGCTTTTAATAAAGCTTATAATAATGCTTTACAAAGCTAACATGTTGAGTAAAATGTACATCAACATGAATAAATTAGAATAAAGTCAGTGGAGTGGGTGAAAAATGAATAGCTCTGCATTCTGGATTCCACTGTAGAAATTATTAGGCTAAAGGGTGGCAAGTGGAAAGATTTGAAGGGATATAATACAAGAAATACAGGAATAGTGACGAAGCAGGCAGTGGTCAACTCATTTGAACTGAATCCAATCTATATAAAGATTCCCAGTTACTATTACTCATCTTCCAAACTCACTTTCTTTACTTTCTTTTCTCCTTCCAGATGAGAATCCAAAGAAAGCTGATAATCGAGAGATTGCACTATATCTGATATTGATAGCAGAAGCTGTAATATTGGCAAGTGCTGTGTTACTGTGAGTTTTCCACCCTCCAAGCATTCCTTTGCCAAAGCGACTGTCCAAACTCCTTCCTCTCTAATGGAAAATGGGGAAAGAAATAGAAGCTTGATGCAAGTAGTAAATGGAACATTGGAGAACACAAAATAATCAAGGAACAAAGAAAACAGCTATGTAATTAGTTTAAAAATATTGCTTCTTATATTTATTTATGGATTATCCTTTCTATTCTAGATTCCATTTTTGCATCTCACATAGGAGGAAAATGAAGGTAATACGAAGGACACTGAAGACATATTTGGAGAAGAAACTTGAAGAATTAGTGGGGATTGTAGATAAGGATGATGAAAACAAAGATTCTGAGACCCAGAAATCAAATTTACAGCCTCAGACAGGAGATCCTTCAGGTGTTGAGTCAGAGTTGCAAACTGGGACTTGAGTTCCTGAGTGGTCATAAAATTACAGCATCTTAAAAGTGGAATAGAACTTAGGGTTTCTCCAGTGAATATCCTTAATGACATCCTGAGACAATGGATGAAATGAGAGGGCAAATGATTTACCCTGAGTTATACAGAAAGGAAACTGGTATGCTGCAACATACACAAGAAACAATATGCCGTGTGAAAGTAAAAATGCATTGTTAGTCACTCTCATGAATGGCAGTAATTAGGGCAACTTCCACATTTATAAATCTGTATTTTATTTCTATTTTTATTTTATTTGTTTCCACACTTACCATCAGGTCCAATGTAAATGATTTCCTAGATAAAAGATAATTAAACTTTATCATAACATCTGAAGCACATGTATATGGGTAAAATAAAGTCCAAAATTACTAGTCCTGAGTAGCTGAGGTTTGTCCAAATCATTTTTTTCTAAATCCATGTCTCAAAACAAAGTTTGATATTTTTTCTTATTAGTGTGTCTGGTGTGTATGCTGGCACACTTGTGTATGGAAGCACATATATGAAGAGGTATATGGTGTGTGTGTGTGTGTGTGTGTGTGTGTGTGTGTGTGTGTGAGGACCCTTCATAGAACACTATTACACCCGGTACTTTGAGGTTTCTCAGTCAAACTCAGATTTTGCTAGCATGGCTATTCTTGAAAACCAATTGTCACCAAGATCCCCTTTCTTGGATTTCCAAAGCAGGAATTACAGGTGACCTGGAACCTTCACACAGTATCTACTTGGATTCTGGACACACAAACTCTGGTCTTCTGGCTTTCCCAGTAAATACTTTATTCACTAAGCTATCTCCACAACCCATATGTTTTTATTTCCTGGGATTTTTTCTATTGAATATCTTTATTTGCATATTACCTTAATTATTGCATTACATATGTATATGTGCATATACAATCAAGATATCTAAACAAACTTATGAGTAATCACTGTTTTCTCAGTAGAGCTGAGGACATAGAAGGTACCTGATGGAAGTATGCAAAGCTATGAAACATTCCTTTGATGAGTGAAAATTTCTTATCAAAGCCATCTGACTAGTATTGATAAGCAAAGGCCTAGTTATGATAGATAAATGAAAATCATAAAAGTGGATTTATATTCTTAGCATATTCTTGATTAAGCAGCCAGCACATAACAAAGCCTAGACTAAAACACAGTCCTACTTGGCTCTAGCATTCATGACCATTCCATTTTGCCTTGCCTCCTTTTATTCTATAAGCTTGTTTCAGAGAAGAAGCACCACAGATTGCCAGCATGAAGCAAATATTTGATGAGCCTTAATTCAGCAGTGTTTACCAGTGTTTGCAAATCATTCCATAATGTAGAACTCTGAGTGCTTGCTTAGGCCGGCAGCTATGTGAATGAGATACTGAGTGATGAGGATGTTCTCAAAGGAACCGGGACATTGATATCTCTGAGTGATTGATTTGGATTTTATTGTACAAGTCAGAGGACACTGTTATAGGACACCTCTCTTTTCTCAGTGCCCGAGAGCTTACTCTTTTATATCTTACTCTGATAAAAATACATAATTACCTTTATACTGTTTTGCTTTTAATTACAGGAAAATATATGCACAGTTAATAGAACTGTAAAAATTTGTGGTGATGGAGTTTGTTTTCGATCAATATGCTATCATTTTGTGTTTAATAATATTTTCTGAACAATCAAGGTACAAATCATGGTATGTTGTTGCAGATATAGTGATATGACTAATTTGGTAACCACGTATTGGCTTGTTATCCCTTATCTTTCCTCTGCTATCTACTGTCCTCAAACATGTAAATCCTTTAAAATCATTTCTAGTGTATCTTCATCAAGTTTTTAGATTAAATATCATGTGGGGCTAGAGAGACTGCTCATTAGTTAAAAGCACTTGCTGTTCTTTTAGAGGATGAGTGTTTGATTCCCAGCACCTACATCTCACCTCACAAGTAGCTATAATCTAATGCAAGGGAAACTAGAGACATCTCCTGGTCTCTGGAGGCACTAGAACCACATGCAATGCACATATAACACACTTGTAGGCAACACATGCATAAGCATATAATAAAATCCTTAAAATCTGTGTATGTGTTGGTGCCTATATGTCTATATGTATAACACATGGTCCTCTGCTAGAGAAGCCAGTGCTTCTAACAGCCGAGTCATTTCTCTAACCCCGTGTTTCATCATTTTTAATATACTTTAAGCACTGAGGAGAGGTGAAGCACACTCATGTAGAACAATAGTTAACTTTATGAATTATACAAATATGTATGCATTTCTACTGATGTCTGGCTAGTTTTTATATATTCCTTTGTAGACTTTAAAAAACATAGCTCTCAGAGCTACAGGCAATTAATGACTGCTGAGATAGGGAAAAATCAGTCTTCTCCTTGGATAAGACTCAAAAGGTTATCCAATCCCCAGAAGTCATTAATAAACAGATAAAATATTAGTAATACTAAAATCAGCAGTATATATATACATATATATAATATACAATTAAATATAAGATATACTGTACAAAATTGAGATTATGAATTTGAGGAGTGGAGGAATGTGGGAGGAACTGAAAAGAAGGGAAGAAGAGAGGAAATGACTTAAATACAGTACTAAATGAAATTCTCAAAACAAATCCATTACTTGAAACAAATTAGAAAAGTAATAAAAAATATAAACATTGCTCCCTCTATTGAGATTGTAGGTAAGATTGCTCCTTTGAAATGACCAAATATCAAATTACTTAAAGAATTGATAATAATATTTCAAATATGTTGATGTAATTATAGCTTGTCTTCTGGAACCTAGAAAATTTAAAGGACTACCTACCAAATAGAAACAAGTGAGTTGAAAAATAAGGAAGCCCTACTTGAGGAAAATAGCACAAAAAAAGTTAAAAAAAATACTCCCTACCCCCTCACGCTTGCTCTTCTCTGTTAATAATAATACCATACTCTTTCTTTCTGAGCTTTCATGTATCAATATAAGGTAAAAGAAACTAATCAGACATTAAAAATGTTAAATATTTAACATAAAAAGTTTTGTGTTAAGGAAAACTGGAAATTTGATACCTGTGTTTTAAAAATGCCAAAAGCTGTTAATAAATTGATAATTTCAGATTTGTACATTTAGTAACCCCTGAAAGCCACAGAGAGGCTGTGTTCCCCATCAAAACACAATGGCACAATAACAGCATTCTATTTAAACAATAACAAAGCATAGGGCAGAACCAATCTATGTAGCCAATGTAATCACAGCCAAATCAGTGAGTGTTGGCACAAATCTTCCAATAACCCATTAAGTCCCAATAAAATAAGAATAAAAAAGAACTAAAAAGTTAAAGATGTTTCAAATAAAGGTGCATCAGCAAGGTCTTCATCATGTATGCAGAGAGTGGTTTTCTTGCACGACAAGGCCTGCATCATATATGCACGCAGTGCTGTCTTCATGTTTTGTTATGTGATATAGAGTATCACTCTTTAGGTTTGAAAGTAGGTCACTATAGCTTCAGAGGGAGAAGTAAAGCAACTAAGAAATAAAAGGCACTATCAGATACAAAGAGAAAGAACACACTAGTATTCAACATAAAATAACTACATCGATAAGAAACTTATAAGAGGAGATCATTTAAAATCTAATTATAAATTACTTATAAAGACAAAAGATACATCTGAGAAACTTCCTGTGAAAATGGTTGAAGTGAGTAGCAAAACTTAACCAACAGAAAGCAAGGATTTTATTGTTGGTACAAGTCATAAGAGAATTTTTAAAAATGTGTATATAAGGGGTGTGCAGCATGTCAAAATCCAGAAACTTCACTTTTATGATAAATACAAAGAAACTTCTTTTGATCTTCAAAAATGATGGGTGCTGATCTTGATGGATTTAGCCTGGTCCATCAGTAGTAGAGGAAGACAATTACAAATATCAGTTAAATCCATGTAAACAATTACAGAAAAGAGGATTAGAGTTGGTATAAATGATTCTGTTATATATTTTAGGAATATGCTCATACAGATATATGTGTTTTCTTTCAATTTCTTTATCATGTGATGTAATACTAAATAGGATAATACCAATGGTTATCATATTTAAGTTTGAGATACAAAAGCAATGTCCCTCAAGGAACATTGCAACATCTTTTAAGTTAATAATGCATTTGTGGTTGATTGGGGGACAGTTGTATCATGTAGGTGAAATTATAACCTGGTTAAATATATATTGTACTTCATTTTTATATGAAACAATTAAAGTACATTTGGTGGAAAAAACAATATCCATGGTGATAAAATAATTGAAAAATATTGAAATTGAATGTGTCTAGTAATAATTTTGTGATTTAGACTAAACAAAAATTAACATCCATCATATGTCAAACACATTTAGGCAGAACTCTCAAAAACTTCTTAATCATCTGGGAGGAGGTGGTGCACACCTATTAAACCCAGTACTTGGGAGGCAGAGGCAGGTGGATCTCTGTGAGTTCAAGACCAGCCTGGTCTACAGAGCAAGTGCTAGGACAGGCTCCAAAGCTACACAGAGAAACCCTGTCTCATAAAATAAAAAATAAATAAAAGAAACTTCTTTATCTGTGGAGAAGTCATGACGTTACAGATGTATAAAATTCAATGGATGAAGAGTGATTTGTTGATCCCTGAGCCTAAATGACAGTTTTTCCAATGCAGTGGGAACATTTTAAAAATTACAATGTGTATGTCTTGCTGATTTTAATTGGCTTTTGTTGTTTAACCAGGTCTCAGTACTTCTCTACACCTTCACTAGGATCTCCTACAGTTCAAAGGGTTCCCTGACCAGTGGCATGTGGTAGCATGTGAGGAAATCTAAGATTGTCACATGGAAATGCAAGAAGCAGGTGTTGGAGAAATTGCCGAATGGGTTAGGGCACTTGCTGTAGAAGCATGGGAACCTAGATTCAAATCCTTAGCACCTAAAAAGCAGGGTTATGAAGCCAGGCATAACACCATATACC